TTATATTCCCAAAACAAAAGACTGAAGAGCTCTGACTGGAGTCTATATTTTCTGTCTGGTTGCTTTTCATTTCACACTTCTTTGTTTTAATTACATTTTAAGATTAAATATGGGGATTGTAGTTAGCTGCACTCAATGGATATCGTACAGATTTAACGGTCAAAGGAAAAGGAAAAGAAGAAAGACAACCAATACCTCATCGTTTGCTGTGGTTCCTATAACATGTGCAAGTCAAGATGAGTGAGTTTTAATAGAAATCTGGCTTGACTGTGATTAAAGGAAGAATTTGCTGAATGAATTCTTCAGCTCAAAAGTATGGGCTTTTAATTTTTTTTACATGTATTAAGCCTAAAAAAAGCTGATTCTGCAAAGCTTTCTTGACCTCTCTGATTGCAACCAATTACAAGATGGATGGCCTGGAATTAAAAGTATCAGTATGATACAGCAGCTAGCCAAGTATGTCTTAGACAGCTCAACAAGGAGATGATGGGGAGGAAGGGAACATATGGATTTTATGATTCCTTTCATTAAGGCAGTAAAAATCCTGCTTGCCTAGACAATATGATCTTTTTTTAAAATTAATAACAAAAACAAAGCTAACACACACTTGCTTTAATATTTTTTAATTAATGTAATTATTACTTAAGTAAAAGCTGTTCTTTTACTTTATTCTCATTCTCAACAGCACTGAGAAATGTTTGTACACAATCAGTATGTCTCAACAGTCCCCCAGCTCTGTTTTTGCACCCATCTGATATGGCTTCAAGAGAGATGCTACCCAGAATGGCCAATAACATTGCAAACCGTGCTTTCACAGCTGAACTGGTGAGGAGCAGAGTAGCCTGCAGGATGTGAAATGGCTGAGAGAATTTGTAATGCTATTTGTAATGTTATGTTTCTTGGGTGACATGGTTTAGTGTGAGGTGTCCCTGCCCATGGCAGGGGGGCTGCAACTTGATGATCTTAAGGTCCTTTCCAACCCTAAGTATTCTATGATCCTATGATTCCATGTTACATTGCCATCTTGCACAGCTCTTACATTAGAGCTCATACATAATTTTTGCTATGTTGCTACAAGAAAAACAGTATCTGTACCTAGTAGAATGGATTTCAAAGCTCCAGAGGATGACAGGGGTGATAGTCCTGGGGAAACAATTTCCCAATGTTCAGATCTTGTCTTGAGGTCCAATGGATGTGACACTAGTGGTTACATGGTGAACTTTATGATCTCAGCTTTTTATAAAGAAAGCCCTGTGAAATTTCACACAAAGCAGCCTGTCGCAGAAATGCACCATGATTTAATCTACAGCTGCACCTTCACACACTTTTTTCCATATATATGTCATTAAATGATTCACAAAGAGGGAGAGATATGGCTGTAATTTCCTAAGTTCTATATATCTGGAATTGCAATCTTAAAAGTTTCTGACATATCTTTCATGTTAGGAAATAGATATAATAAATCACAGTGTTTTCTTGCTCCAAGTTCTCTTTAGGCATAGAGATATTGAATAATGGGAGTTAAATAAACTAATCAAACACTTGCAAAATCTGTCATAATCTAAATCAAGAAGAGGAATAATACCAACAGCTCTTAATGTCCAAACCTTTGCTGACTTTGAAATCATTTCTCTGACAGTAAACTCATTAGCATTTATTAAGAGCACGAACCCACTTATAACTATCTGGACATAATCCTCCTCATAACTGAGCATTAGCACCACTGACCATGAAGGCCAGCAGTCCTCTAAGCATGAGGCACTTCAAGGATGCTGAGAGTTTTCCAAATGAACTCAAACATCAATAGCTTATGTGATGAGCCCCTCACTGCAAAACCTAATGAGAGAGTTTAATTAGATGCATCTCATCGGCTTGATGGAGTATATCTCCTTTGACTGCCAAAGGAGTAGAGGTTACTAGCTGCTTCATAAACCTGTCCACTTAGCTACATAAACCCAACCACAGATACCAAGTGACTTCTGGGCTTCTTTGGAGGTGTCTAATTCCTCTCCCCTTTTCAACTCTCATGCACAATTAGTTGGCAGTATAAAATGCCAACTCTGTGGATGAAGAGGGAAATGAAATGTCAGGACAAAATACACAATTATATCATGCTAGAAGAAAATCAAAACCACCTTCTGAGTTTTACAAAGAATATGGTGTACTAAACAGGAAACAGTAAAAGGATTCATTTTTTTAATCCATCACATTTAGGTTCTTACACCACCCTTACTCCTCAAAATCTGAACCCTCAAATATATTTAGATAACTTATATGAATGGAAATTTGGGCTGAAGACCCTTCCAGGTAAAAACTGTGATGTGGCCAGTCTGTGGGGGCCTGACGGAGTTGTGATACCTTGCTCTGCGGTGCTTGGAGAAGAGGGCATTCTTTACTTTCTAGTCTCTGTACAAAGAAAGTTTAGTATTTGAGGGTGATCATAATTCTTTATTTTCATGCCCGCAAGAGTGATGCCCAGAATTCAATAGGCAGTTGTAACCTTCCCCCACATTTTTTGTTCTGTACTAGCTCAGTAAATTTGTGCAGAACTATTAGTTTAATCAGTTCTACAGTTTTTTGAGACACTCCCCCGGCACACTACTGACCCCGAGTTCAGAGTGAGTGACTGGAATAAAGAATGCCACTGCTGAAAGTAGCATTCTACACATCTCAGCCTTAAAAACAGACAAAGAGAAAATGAGATATCTGACATTTTTTCACTGCTTAGTAGCAACCATAATGCCAAGGCAACCTGTATATATACTCTAGTACTAAAGGGTTACATTTCCTAAAATTACCTTCTCTTACTGGCTGCTTCTTCCATCTGAATACTGTTTCCGAGCACTAAACCAAGTAGGAAAGCGCAATTCCACTTTACAAATGGCAAAATGGAAGGACCTACCCACCTCTGACCCAAAGATCTTTCACAGATGAGGTCTTTCAGAACACCTACTCCATCAGGTCTAACGAATGGTGTGACTCACAGCTAATGAAGTGATATTTGCATTACAAAATAATACAGCTCAGTAAATTGAACAAAAAAAAAAGAGCTGGAGTTGGTAGGATAGGCATCAGCTTTGCAAAGCTGATGGTAAAGGCCTTTTTTTTTTGATGAAATGACAAGGAAAGCCAGCCAATTTCAAACAAAATCCCCATTTATGTAGTTGTCAGCTCTTCCCACTAGAATCATATGTTCCATTATACCAAGCACGCAAAGGGCTCCCAGTGGACGGACATCAGCCTAGCTTTGTACCAGTGTCCACAGTCCTTGATGGATTATTTTAGCCCACCACCTTTAGATCCTCAGCAGGGCACACGCAAAGGGAAACTTCTGCACCAAACCTCACCTCGCTGCAGTAAGGTGTATAGCACTCAACTGCAGTGAGAAACATTCTCCTGTGGGTTCTGTGCTGTGCATTTAAAAACACAAACAGTGCGTAAACAAATGGACTCAAGTTAATTAAATCAATAGCCCAAGCAAATTACTTTTTTTCAAGTTTAAGTTTTATTAAGCGCTATTTTACTGGGAGTTTATTATCAGGATAAAGACAGGGTAAGGTAGTGAGCTAAACACAAAGCGCTGAGCCTTCTGGGAAATTCTTTTTCTATTTGCCCAGTATGCTAGTACTAAGCCTATTACTCGATTAAGTGCTTTACACAATGACCTCTTCTGGTTTACCTAAACTAATATAAAACAAGATTGCTAATGAGATGCTTTGCACTTAGACTTTTATTTATACAAGAAGTGGGAAAAGAGAAGAAAACAACCCCACCAGAGTTAGAGCATTCATACTTGGTTTTATTAAGACTACGTAGACAAACAAGTATAGCGTGTTAGCTGATCTCAGCAAAGTGACAGTTTTCTCTTTCCTGCTGTCTTGAGTGAGAAGCATAGATTAAACTCATGCTCCCTATAGGTCCCTCTCAGAATGGTCACAGACAGCTCTCCAAGGGAGAAAGAGAAGGCCACACTTTCAGACGTGACTGACCAAGTGAGAAGTTGTAATGGACGGGAACCTATCTGAGAGCAGATTCCCACTCACAACTGAGAGACATAACAACATATGTTTTTGCCAAAGTGTATTTGGTAAGGTATATATGTGTATGTTCATTGTGACTGTTTGTCAGAAAGAGGCAGGAAAACATAAGGGTGCAGCTGTTCTATGACCTTCATAGTTGGCCACACCAGGGCACCTGGCCAATGCTCTCAGCATGGACAGTGATATCATGAGAAACTGCATGGCCCCAAGAGTAAACAATTAGAGATTTGGCATAAAGCCAGTTGTTTTTCTAAGGGTACAATAGCAGGACCCTCCTGTAGCAAAATTCAAAGCCTCGCCTCTGGGTGGACACACCATGTAGGGATTTTTCCAGTTACCTGAACCTCCTGACATCAACTGCTACGGGGCTTCCCAGCTTGAAATGTGGGCCTGGATGATGAAGATTAGGTGGTAATTGGTGATGTATTTCTTCTTAATCTGTTCTCCCTGTGTAGTAATGGTATGACGCATTTCTAATTTTCCTCTCTGATTTCCTTTATTGAACTTACTATATATAGGTATATACCTGATTTGCGTTAGTATGCATTTACTTTAGTACGCTTATCCACGTTAGTGTGCTTGTTTAATAAACTGTGCATGTTATATGGCTAGTGTGTGGTCATTTCGTTGAGTACCCTGCCTGTCAGCAGAACAGAAGTTCAGATCCCATACTTGTGATGGAGAGCAGGGCTACCAGATACCAAGACTCTGGATGTCTACAGTGAAGAACTTAATGCTGAATTTAACCATTTTGGTGTCTTTGCATACTTAATGAACATGTTTCACCTGACCCATTCTGGACATCTGCTTCATGGTAAACACTACTGGAGATGAAGAGAGTGTAAGTACAAGAAGATTCATCAAGTGTGCAGGTGGTGCAGCCACTCAGAGACCCAGAGGCCAAAGAAACCAAGAGACAGGGTCAAGATGCAGCAATACTGAGGCTGACAGAAGAGGGACTCATGCAACACTGTAAGCATCACGGAGAGATATGTCAGTGAATGACTGGCTATCACAGGTCAGACATTCATCACGATTTCCACCATGCTTAAAACCAGTTGACAGGATAGAAGTTGCTGCTTCTTTTGTAGCATATATGGATTCCAAGTTCTTGTACTGATCAAACGTAGCTCCTCTCCCCAGTTGAGCAACCTTCAGGATAACGTAGAGATTAATCTGAAGAGAGGGATTGAGAATCCATAGCTGTGGAGGACTGGAGGGAGAATGAAAGCGGTCAGTACTAGCCCTTCTGCAGGATATTTGGTAGCCAGACAAATTTGAGCAGAAAGGATTTCTAGAAGATGGTGAATATTTCCTTTAAAATTACCTACTTATGTTAACTTCTATAAATTTATCAGCCATACATTTCTTCTTAGAAGATAAACCAGGGAAAATAGATTGCCTTGACAGATGATTGCCTTCTTGATTTAAAGTAAGGAGTCACACAATTTCTCACACTTCTCAGTCCTAAATCCTGCTTGTTTTGGGTTTGTAATCAAGCTGTGTATAGGCAGTAAGCATGCATTTTAGGTGTTCTTCAATCTCCAAGCAATCACCTCGCAAACAAAAATAAAAGTCACATTAGCACTTAAGAAAGGGACCCAGAAATCCTAACATTCCTCTCGTACAAAATTTCCAGGCTCCCCCGTAAATCTCTTTCCTGGAATGGGAGGCAGAAGGACAGGTAGCAGTGGAAAGGGGGAGTTTTCTTAAATAATTGTGACAATGAAATAGCTAATTTCTTCCCCAGCTGCACAAAAGTAACTCCACAATGTGGGAAGGAAATTGGTCAGCCACCCAGAGGTACTCACCCATCCTTATTTCTTCTCTGTGCTCTTCTGTATTTTCTGAGCGGCAGTCTATGAAATAGCTCATGTAAATACAGTGCAAGCACTTAACTGAAATGGCCTCCAAGTCTAGTTAGTGTCACTCGTGATATGCGGCAGTGAGTTTGGCAGAAACTCAGATCATTAACCAAATTTAACCCGCTACTACAGAATGCCTTTGGGCTCTCAGCTGGCTTTCTGCCTGTCAATAATTAAAATGCAATCTAAGAAATAATGGGAAATTACTACTTCTGGATGTTTTCCTGATAGCTGGGCACCAGTTTCCTAGTTCTGAACTGTAGGAACTTTCAGGCAGCTGCTACCCTTGAGCAAGGAAACAGCAGGGCTTGGAAAAAGAGCTGCAGAAAGGGAGAGGAGTCACAGATCCAGAGGACTGGCTTTTCTTCCTACCTGATGGCCTTCAAAGCTTTCCCTGAGGTTTGGTAACTTTTCATTGGCTAAATGTTTCCTCAGGGCCAATGCTTATGTGCAACAGCCCCAACGATCAGTGTTTGATTACAGCACTCAGGTAAGTGGAGGTAAGAACCTCAACAGCTACAACTCAAACATAACCTGAGCTACAAGCTATAGGAAAGCAGGGGTTGCACACAGCATAACATTGACTAAGGGGATTTATACTGAGCCTCTGGAGAAATGGGAAGGGACTTTGGCTGACTCCCAGGAGAGAGAGGGACTTCATCCCACTGGATGCGATGACTGAAGTGATTGCCCTCCAGGGAGGGTACAAGCTGAGGAGCTTGGGCAGGGGAGGAGGGATTCAAGCAGCAGCCAAGCATGCAGAAAGGGTTGAGTTTAGCCTTCATTAGTACACAGACTTACTTGAAGTAAGGACCAAGGAAAGCCCTTGCTCACAACATCCTTCTATTATGTTAAATGACACCTCTTCCTTTTCATCTGTATTTACACTGCTCTCATGTCAGGCTGTCACAGAGACAAACTGTGCACATTTGATGCTTAAGTTTTCTTCATAAATCCTGCTGTACAGCCCTCATTATCTGTGCTTGAATCCTCTTCAGTCCATCAATGTGTCCCAGTTATGACTTGTCCAAGGAGACAGAAAATTCAAGGCACAGCAGCTCAGGCACAGTGGAAGCAATGTCTTCTTGTCCCATGACTCCGTGCCACAACACCCATGCTCTCTCCCCTAATTCTAACTTTCCCTACTACTCCTTTTGTCCTTGGTCCTGGCACTGAGTCTGGGGTTTGTGACAGGTTTTTCTTCTCAACATTGCCTCTCGTCTCATTTTTTTTCTGCCTCATTTTCCAATTGCTTTGGTAAATTTGTTTTCGGGAAGGAGCTGAAACATGACTTGTTTGAGCTGTTTCTATTGTAAGGCCCCTTGTCCTGCTGCTGCCGCAATGCCACTGTCCAACATGTTTTCACTAGGTCTAAGCACTTAAAAATTCTATATTAAACTCCTAGTACAGACTTACTTAATACATGATTAAGGAATTAAAAGGAAACTGCTGCAACAAGCATTTTTTTTCCACTAAAGCCTCTATATAGAAAAAATTGATAAGATGTCAAGTTTTTCCTTTAACCAATTTATCTTCCCTGCACACTTAATAGTAAGATCATCTTGAATAACTAATCCACAGCCATAAAGCAGAAGCTATCATTTATTTTATCATTTGCATTTAAACAAAATGATATTAAAATTCAGCAGGACATGATATGTAATCTAATAACCTAAGGTAATGCAATTCCAGTCCATGTAGCAATCGTTCCCCCAAATACTCTGACCATACACGACTAGCACAATTTACAGCAAGCTTTATTGTATTTACTGTTATAATATGACTAGAGTCAGTAATGAAAAGAATAAATGCTCTTGGCTTTAAAGAACTGATTAGCTGAATCTCTAACACTCATTGGCAGAAATTTCATTTGCTCTAGTGCATCAGCTTTGTCATATCATCAAGGCTTCTGATTTTTACTGAAACAACAATGTGTATCTTTGACAGCTACTTGAGGGAATTCATTACCAAAGTATATTTGTTAGTGAAACATAATTTCTGGTAGGTCAAACAGGACTATCTTTACTCTTACAGAATATCAAGTCAGTATCTCAATTTCCAGTCAATTCTACCTAGCCTTTAATTGTGTCTAAATCTACCATCAAAAGCCTCCAGATCTCGACTTCTCCTACAGAAAGGGCTTTTTATCACTGTGACAGGTCTGCCTAGGGATGACTTGCACTATGACCCCAGCTTGATGACAGCACCAGACTTTTTTATATAAATCTAGAGTATGGCTACTAACCAGCACCATGATCTGCTTCTGTGAAGTAAGAGAATAAACCACAAAGAAAAAAACAACCAGTATACACATAAGGAAACCATAGACTGCTAGAGATAATGAGGGTATATTGTCTGCTCTTTTGCTATGCATTTTACCTATGCAAACTTTATTGGCTGTGCTAAATGCAGGCTTGGATGAACTTTTGATCTGACCTTGTACATTCATTTTAATGTTTCTATGAACTGTCCATTCAGTCAAGTTTATAGTAGAAACTATTCCTTCCCCATCAGACTGACAGTCAGCATGGTTTTCCTCATATTATACGGACATGTTAACAGGCCAAAAAGGTATGAATGGGATTTTTCTTTTCTTTTCTGGAAAGCTTTTCTATACTTAAAGCAGCCGTTTGCACATGAAGGGATGGAGTTGCTAGGTTAGCTCTCCAGGGACTTTCCTCTAGTATAGGGCAGCATGAAGTCTGCAAGACACTGGTAATCTTTAGGGGGTTTTCAAGCACCTTCCATGAAACACTTTTCATCAGAAGATTGCCATTGGCTGAGTGGGTTTCGGGTCAAATATCAGTATATGTGAAAGGTTTCATTCTTCTGCATTAGTCACCAGGAGGGAAAGACATCAAACTCCTCTTTCCCTGGAACCACAAACGCTGCACATACACCATCTTGTAACTGTGTGCTGTAACTCTTTGCCACAAAGAGAAAAATTAACGCATCAGTAATACAGTGAGGACTGAAGGCAAGTGGCCTTGGCTGCTCCATGGGGACCCCAAAACGAGCCTGTTACTATATACCCGTGCCTGAGCTGGGCATGGTTGAGAAACATGCTGAGGAAAACAAAAATGACCAATGCCTTCCTTCTTGTGTTGTCGGCCCAAGAAAGTTTCTCTCTAACTCTTACTGTTTGGAAAAGTTATGCCAGCTTAGTATGATAGCCTTATAGTGGAACAATTCAAGTACCCTCAATGACAGGTATGTTACCTGTGACTACTGCAGGGGCTGCTACCTACAGTGAACAGACGATAGCTGCATCACATGCCTAGCAGCTCTAAAAAAAAGGTACCCAGTGCCTACACCAGACTGGCTCAGCTGAGATGTTAACCTGTCAACATAATGTAACCTTTCTCCTTATCACTATTTTTTCAATGAGTTGTCTCAGTGTGGTGGGCTCCATGACAGCCCAAGGGCAATACATTTCACAAGTTAAATATTCACCAGATTTATTCAGACTTCAGGTTCACATTTTCTACCTCTCACTTTCTCACTGTCCTCTGTTGTTGAATTATGGAGAGGGACCTACAATCATTTCATGAACAGGGCGGTTACTGCTGGTCTCATTCTGTAGGCTGGAGAAGCCCCAGAGGTGTCTCAAGGCTACCTGGGGGGAATAATGGCACTCAGATATCTGCTGATATTAGAGGAAAATCACAGATGTTGCTCCTAAACCTTAACATCTTCAAATAATAAACTATTTTCTCTCTGCTTTATCGGCTATTTCTTCCAGCCTCAGATTCTTTACCTCAAAGCAATAATTCATCAGAAAACTTCCTGGTGAAATTGCATTTGTTCCTGCACTCTGCATTTTATTCCTTGTCTATCAAGCACTCTTTTGCCTACCTGACTTGCTTGACTTGTGCTTTACATCTTTAACTGCTTTGCAATTAATCTTCACTGCAACTATATTCCATCCCTATTGCTTTGTTCTTTTTATTGGTTATACATTTCAATCTCCCCACCTGATCTGTTATTATTTGCTTGTAAAAATGCCTGTCCAATTTCTGATGTGACAATATAACAGCCTTAATTTTCCAGGTAGCTGGGAATACAGCTTCACACTCAGTTCCATGATTTAGTGAGTATGAAAAGAATCTAAGAGTGCATGTACACAGCACCATGAATAAGAAAGCAGAAATGCCAGAGCAAACCATACCCACCCAGGCTCTGGAACAGCACAGCCCTACCTCTGAGTACATTAGTTTTGCTAAGAGGTAGAGATTATCAGCTTGTGTTTATCACTGTGCCAAGAGCAATGAGTTGCTCTTAGGACTGAGCTAGTATCTCTGCATGACTCAATAGCCCACATGATAAGAGTCTGCATCAGATAACTCCACATTTACTTGCTGATGTTTGCACTGAAATCAGCTACAAAGCGTAGACATGACTAAAGGCAGATCAAGCAACAGTCTTCTAGTGTAGCTTTGCACTAGGCAGGGGTGCAAGGGGCTTAAGAAGACATGGCCATTTTTGACAGCTCAGGCAAAAATGAGGTACAGGAGCTATCAGTACCCTCCTAGATACCTGTGGTCCTCTCCCACTGATTGCCATTTAAGTGAAGGGAGCTGCATTCACACAAACCTGCTCTGTAGAGGTGTTCCAAATGTGGCATTCAACCCTCAGCCCTGGGGAGGTCATGCTGCCTGGGCATGATGCCTTTCTTGAATTGGTGAAACTCTTGATAGATGTTTCACACGGCAAAATGCCCACCAGCAGCTTGCTTACTGAAGCTAGATAACTCGCAAGCAAGTTTGCAGACAACACAAAGCTGGGAGGAGTGGTTGATGCATGAGAAGGTTGTGCTGCCAACCAGAGGGTAGAGCCTTCTCACTAGCCTAGAGAAATGGGCCAACAGGAACCTCATGCAGTTCAACAAAGGCAAGCACAGTCTTGTACCTGGGGAGGAACATCCCCATGCAACAGTATATGCTGGGGCCTGACTGACTGGAAAGCAGCTTGGAAGAAATGGTCCTGGGGGTCCTGGTGGACACCAAGTTGAATATGAGGCAGTACAATGGCAACATGCCCTTGTATCTAAGAAGGTTAACAGTATCCTGGGCTGCATTATGAGCATTGCCATCAGGGGATAGCATAATGGCAATTACAGGCAAAACTGGTCTTAAATGTTTCTTGAATAGGTTAGAAACATGCTGTCTCAGTCAGTGATCACTCAGCCTTCCTCCACTACAACCCTTATGTACATTGTCCTGCAAAAATCCCTCGAACCCTAGTGCAGTGAGCCAGGGTCTGTCTACAGCACACCTTTGCAGAAGCAAGACTTCCTAGGGCCGGCAAGAAAAGATGTATTTTTGCAGAGAACGTGTATTTGCAATTCCTGTCACTGTGAACAAGCCAAAGGTCAGTTCTCACCTCTGCTCATCTCCCCAGCACAACACAGTCTCCCTCCCCAAGACATGACCCAGACAGCTTTCTCCACTTAAGAATGCAGTAGCTGCACCGCAGCTGCCCTTCAGTCATGCATTCTTACATTCATAGATTTGTAATGCTGGAAGGGAACAATATGATCATTGACTATGACAGCACCATAACACAGGGCGTAACATTGCACCTGGTAATTCCTGCATAACATCTGCTTGAACTGAGTAAAGCTTACCAAGAGAAATCCAGCAGTGTGGAGAATCCACAAAATCATTAAATGTAACATTACTGGGCTGTTGCCCTGTAAAAAGTTACTTCATGTTGCTACTCTTAATATGTTCAGCTTGAAGTTCCAGGCAAGGGATCTTACTATGTCTTTACCTGCCCATGTCACCAGTCCTCTGCCTTCAGTAACTTTTTTCCCCAACATAGGTGCTTACAGTCTGTAAGAGGTATCTTCATTTCTGAGTAACCTTCTTCTTGTAGGTAAGCTTTTTTCCTAAACTTGAATAACATCAAGTAAGTAGGAATTACTGCACTGTGCCTTTATTCAGACCCCAGGATCATTTCTGACCAGTGGGCACTCTATTACAGCAAACAGCAGCAATATCACTTTCTTCCTTCTA